CATTTGACACGATCTGAACTGTAATTCGAGCATAGGTTTTGTTGTTCCAGAAAAGCAGAGAGAGCTTTTTGGCAAATTCTTCCAAAAGAACTGAAGGACGAAGCATTCAGTTTTCCATTTTTCTTTTATCTGAGAAGATATTTAATATATAAAACACTCGTGTTACAGTATTAGATACCCCTCCGAAATGCCTTGGACTATTTTATTGAAATTTCATATGCCTATTCAGTAGGTTTGAGAACAACATAACATCTATTTTTCACACCGGGAAGAGGACCTGGGACTGATGTGTTCCAAAATTTTCAATATATAGTTCAATTTTCTTTAAATTCGATACACGTTTTTTTCCAGGAATAGTACCCACGACCGAACTGTTTGAAAAAAAATCGTATCTATGGTTTGGATTTATATATGTGAAGCTTTTCGGAATTCGACCGAGGGTCATCCAGCAGATATTTGATTGGCTTGGTGCATTCCATAACTCGATAAAAACTTGTTTATTCGCGCTAAAAGTTTGTCTTTGGCATTTTCGAATGATTGACTCAGCACGCTGTGAGCGCTCGTCAAAGACGGACATCAGCAAAGAAAATTCGCTATATTTTACAATTTTTCTTCAATCAAGAAGAAACAGTAGCCAAACCGGGTGAAGAATATAATTTAGTTTATGGGCCCGATACTGAAAACGAACGTGTAGCACAAAACTGGTTCGCTATGTTCCGTTCCGGTAATTTCGATGTCAAAGATGCACCACGCGTCGGGAGGCCAGTCGTCGAAAATTGGGATTAAATCTTGGAAATAGTGGGAACAGACCGTCACGAGAGCAGTTATTTGATTGCTGAGGATCCATCTGCATAACCTTGGATTGGTCTGCTTGAAGGCAGCACTCATTCAGAAGAGGCCATCTTTGATCAACAACCACATTTAGAAAATTTAAATTTTGATGTAGGTCAAGCCAGGATTTGCGTCTTTTGAATTGCAGTACGTAATGCTAACCACTCGGCTATTCCGGCTGCAGGGAGATAACCCCAATAAATTATTGTGTTTCAATTGATGTATGCATAGTGACGCGCTTGCTTATGGTGTGGCAAAAAATGAGGTTCTTTCATTAATTTTGATGGCCTCTCATGTTTGCAGCGGCGCAGACTGTGTTGTTTTTGACACCGTGACTGCGGCCGGACTTGTGCAAGACCTGTTAGATTTTAAGCTTAATCTGGTAATTTTTCACTGATCATAATGAAAAGGTGCCAATCTTCTCCCGACTGGCTTGAAGATATTAAAACTTCTAGGGCACTTTAAAAAATTTCGTAGCACGAACCGAGTAATTAATTTTTTACTTGGACAAAAATTCTTTTTATCGCTGTAGACTCCATAAAAGCTTACTTTGGACTCGTATCTTATGTGTCTGAAACGCACCTTTTTTCAAAGAATTTATAAATGCCTCATTAATTATTTTATAATTATTTTTCTTTCGTAAAATTTTTGTGAGTTACAAAAGTATAAGATTAAACGCCGCAACGGAGAGCTTTACTGATTGTTCAGATATTTTTGAGCAATATTTATGTGCATTAATTTTAGATTAGCATACCCTGACTAAAGCTAACTCATCAAAAGAGGCATCTCTCCATTATCGAAACGAAGTTCTGTCCAAGCCAGAACAGTCTCAATAAAGATGAGAAATCGTTTTTTCTTATTCATCGTTCGTGCAGCTTTTGTAGCCTCTTCCAAAACAGAACTCTCTCTCTCTCTCTCTCTCTGCATGTCATCCTATCAAGCAATGTTATGACAAGACTGAAGAATCTACAATACAAGGACGTGCCTTCCTTGAAAAATTTCATTTGTATGACAATTTCCTTCTATGTCCATGCAGCTAGGAACCCAAGTGAATGATCGTCGTGTAAAGCTTGGAGTTTAGAGCTATACTTCAGCCAACTTTTTATCGTGTTGCGACTAGAATGTATATATTATAATTAGGTCGACTGGTGGATTGAAGTCATCACTTTCCTCTTTATGATTTATGCAGGGTTGATAACAACGATCTCAAACACCTCCATGTTCATGTCAATAGCCGATTTCACTTCGCTCAAGTGAGTCAACTGTCTTCTTGTTAAGCAAAGAACCCCTGGCTTTGTTTGGATCCTTTTTCTTTTTAATGAGCCTTCTGGAGCAACGTCATTATTACCTCCGACTCTGTTGACAGATATCCATGTCCTGACTTGGGTCTTATTGGGATATTACCCTAATTGACGCTCTTTAAATTGCCTGCTGGGTATACCTCTTCTCCTCCATAAACGGCATCTTGCACAGAGCTAATGTTCGTTTATCTTTAAATGCGACAACTTTGATGTAAGCGGCGCTCTTATAGCCAGAGAGGTTCTGGAGGTGAACAGTATGACGTCCGTATGCCATTCACCCTTCAGGTTGGGTTTGATTGAACGAGCTGAATCCGAAGAGTATAACTAACTGTCGATACTACGTTCATATTATTACCAGATACCCTACATAAAATCAAAGCTGGATCGCTGCTCTAAATTCTTATGTCTTCAATTTAAAAAACCTTGCTGCTCTCTTCTCAAATCGAAGTGATCGTTTTAAGTCTGCCTACTCTTGCCACTCACATTGTCTTATACCAGAACTATATCCGGAATGTTGGTCTTTATCAAGAACTCCTATAAAAAAGTCTCAAATTTCTCTTGGAAATTACATGGAGAAACGTCGCTTCTCTTCACCGCTCTCCCAACCAAAGTTTTTTGTTGGTAATCTTTGTATTCAGAAACAAAACGGTGCCCACAACATCAACTCAATGGAACCTTCAAGGGTTTCAACGAGGCGGAGGAAGTTCTGACATTAGCCCGGAAGCGAAATTAAAAAGCATAGAATATTTTCACGACTCAACTATAAAAATACCGTTACATTGAAATTATGTTACCTAGAAACCCATCTAACATACTTATGTTTGTATGTATTCACACGAACAAAGGCAGTTGTAACAGCTGATATTGTTATGCCTTTGTAAAATGTTCGAAAACAAATACACAATTCTGCGCTCATACATATATAGACAACACGTGTGCCCTTTCAGAGAGCTATACACAACTAAAATGGAGAACACTTCCACTAACGGGGAGAACAGTGAGAGAGATCGAGTGAACTGTAAAATAAATTGAAAAAAAAAAAAAAACATGTAAACTTTACAAATTTCGCCACCCCATCAAAGTTACGCAATCTCAGCTAACCACTGAATGACAACAAAATTAAGGTAGGCTTTATGAAGACAACAACAACAACAATTACTCGTATTCGCATTATAAAGCCGCCACAATAAAAACAAATATAGGCATGCGTAGTGCAATATAGAGAAGTGGCTGTAGAAGTAGAAGAAGAATCAGGCATACGAGTACGAGCACATGAATATGCAAGCAAAGGAGGAAGGAGCATAGAAGCCAATTCGAATATATTCTTTTAGTGGGTGAGAGCGTAAAATTTGTAAATGGGACAGTTTGAAAAATTCCTTGCAATCATTAAAAGTACAACAACAACAACATATACAAATAACATAAGCAACAACAAGTAGTATTAATAGCAAAAATATAGTATTCTAAGGAGAATTAAGTAATATAAGCAAAAATATATACTACTGTGAGTATATATATGCAATATACATATGTGTATGTATGAGCATAGTTATATGTACTATTATTATCTTCATGTTGTGCGGAAGGTGTCTGACAGAGCCAGGAAGACTTTTCTGCACGCAGGAAATTCAGGTGAATACTGGTGTTACCAATTGCCTACTCGATGCAATAAAAGGTGAAAAAGCGACGATAGTAAAAACTTAAAAACATTAAAACTTTACGTGAAAAGGGGAGTAGTTGTAGGAATTCATTCAAAGTTTTAAATGTTACCTGTGTTACTACAAACATTACACAAACAACAAATAATTCCCTGGACACAAAGAAAACTTGTCTAACGAAAATCTGCGTCAACTGTGGGATGTGAGGCACTAGAGGGAATTACATAGAAATCGACAAACATTCTTCATTCAAAACATATTTTCAGTGGAATGTCAAGATTTGACGAGCTCAGTTAGAGAATAATTTGTCTCTTCCACAGACTATGCGATATCTCCTAACATGATAACCAAATGAGAAAATATCACACGATAAAATATCGCATGATGTCATGTCACTGCCTAGAAATATTTTGTATATAATAGAAAATAAAATAAAATAAAATGAAATAAAATAAAATAAAATAAAATAAAAAGAAATAAAATAAATTAAAATAAATTCAAATCAAATAATAAAATATCATTAATTAACATAAGATAAATTAACACAAAATAAAATAAAATAAAATAAAATAAAAAACCAAAATAAAATGAAATAATTAACGTCAAAATAAAATTACACAAAATTACACAAAAACAAACAAACAATATTAATATAACAGAAAAAAATTAAGTTAAATGTAATACAATCGAAAAAAAAAAATAAAATAATATAAAACCAAATTATTTAGTATAAAATAAACTTAAATAAAATCATATTAAACAAAATAAAAAAATTAAAAAAAGTAAAATAAAATTAAGTAAATTGAAATAAAAAAAAGTAAAATAAAATAAAACAAAATTAATATGACAGAATAAAATTAAGTAAAATGTAATAAAATCAAAAAAAAAAATAATAAAATAAAATAAAATTTAATTTAATTTAAATCTATTAAATGCAAATAAAATAAAATGAAATTAAATAAATGAAATAAAATACAATAACAAATTTAAAAGTAATCAAAATTAAAACGAATTAAAGTAGAATATTTCTTAAAAAATTAAGAGAACAAAAAATAAAATTAATGGAAGTGACCAAATAAAGTAAATAAAAATAAAACAAAATTTAATAAAATAGGACACATTTAATTAAAATAAATTAATATAAATTGTATAAGTTAGAATAATACATAATTTTTCCTGTCATTAAATTCCCATTTCTTTTCTCTTTCAGTCAACTAACAATTTCAAACGTAACTGACAACCCGTTTTATTCACCACAACAACAACCTCCACACTCAAATATCTCAACTAAGTTTTGCTCCAAATTGAGCCACTAAAAATGGAACGAAAAAAACGTAAACTCGATTACTCAACCAGCAAAGAGTAAAACTACCGAGCCAAGCCTTCCAATGAAAGCTCCCATAAAAAGCACACATTTGGTAAGAGCAAATACATGAGCAGCCAACCAACAACAATAACAACGAATAAACAAACAAATATACGTCCGATGCCGAGCCTCCCACCCAAAAATAGACGTGCAAAAGTCAAGTAAAACAAGAAGCGTGTGAGAGAGTACACACCTGCATGCGCCACATCAGCTGCGCCGTAAAGTATGCCATAATCGCATACTTACACGTATATTGCATGCCAACTACCAACCAGCTAGCTAACGGCATTACTGAGCACTTTTGCAAGCGGCACTACAATTTGAGTACGCGAACCGTGTGGAACAACTAAACGGGCAAGCCGCGCATAGCAGCGTGCTGAAGAAAAAAAATTTTGCAAGTTGCAATAAATAGTGCAAAATAGAAAATAGAGGAAGCATAAGATCTAAAGTAGAAAACACAAAGTGAAAAAAAAGAAATAAAAAATAATGTATAAATAAAATAATTTGCAAACATTGTGATGTAAAGTGGCAAACAATTGCTAAAAATAACAGCGATTTTTTTTTCTAGGTTTGCATAACGCCTAAAAGTGTACTAAGCACAATTTGTGACAAGAAAAAAAAAAGAAGAAACAAAAGAAAAAAATGATTTAAAGAATAAGTCCAGCAGAATTTGTGAAAAGAAAGCTTGGTTAAAGTAAAGTGAATTTTTCTTTCCTTGCTGCGTAAATTTGTGTGCTTAAGTGTGTGTGTGTGTGTGTGTGTATGTGCTTGCACTCTTGCCAGTGTAGCGCAGCAACGTAGTTGACGACTGGCGGCCAGTAAACGCCGTCGCGGAACACGCAACACAACGTGAGAAGAAAAGGTAAAAATAGCTGAAAATTATGCTGCATACTTTTCAAGTAGGCTGCAGAATATTTTTTTTTCTGCTCACTCGTGTGTAAGTGTTAATATATGTAAAAATAATTCCTAACAATTGACCAGTATGCTATGAGGTGTGGAAAATCAGCAAAATACATACTGAAATATTTGCGTTTGGTAATTAAATATAAAATGTGGTATACTTGAGAATTTTGAAAAAACAAAAAATAAAAAAATATTTGACGGTTGTTAAAAAAAACTGTAATTATAAATTATATTACAAAAAATTCTTGCCGAGTTTAGCAAGCCCCGTGTGATTGGGAAATTTAAACCGGGCTCTTGCAACTAAGGCATATTTTATTATACGAGTATGTAAAACTGGTGAAAACTACGGAATCTCTAAGTGATTGATTTGATTTTAGTTAATGAAAGAGATGATTACAATAAAATATATTATGTAAAAGAAAATATATATTTTTTATAAAATATATGAATATATAATTTTTTGCGAATCATATTTTGACAAAAAAAAACTGTTGTGCATAAAACACCGTAAAACTCGTGGAAAATGAGTAAAAGCTTACTTAAAATAAATAAATTTAATAGCAAATAAAAACTAAAAAGTATAATAAAAAAAATATGAGAGTAATCAAACGAAAATTAATTGGACTCTTTAAAAATATAAAATTTTTCAAATAACAAATAAAATGTTATAATACAAAAATTAAAAAATAATAGCAGAAAAATAAAATGTATTAAATTAAATTAACTAAAATTAAAAAAGGAATAAATTACAAATAAAAATAAGAACAAAAATATATATAAAAATTAGAACGAAGATATTTTAGGCAGCCATTACGATATTATTAAAGTTCGCATAAATGAAAATAATAAGTAACTAAATGATATTTAAAATTAAATTTCGCTAAATGGTAAAATAATTCAATTTCTATACAGAAAACAAAATAAAAAGACCTTATAGAACAATTTATATTATATTAAACTTGGATTACAAAAACGTGAAAAAAAAATAATTATTATAAGTAATTATATTTAAAATTTTTAATTATATATTTAAAATCATTAAAGATATGATTATTAATAATAATTGAACTAACAATTATTTGTTTATAATTTTACGCAAGTAATATATAATTTTTAAATATAAAATTACATAAAATCAAATACTGTTATTTTACGTAGCATAAAAAATTAAAAAAAAAAATATTTTTAAATCATTAAAAATATAATTATTTATAATATTTGAACTAAAAATTTTTTTTTTTTTATCATTTTGAGCAATTAATACATAATTTTTAATTATTTTACAGTATTTGATTTTTATGTAGCATAAAAGAATTAAAAAAAAAATTTTTAACAATTAAAAATTATATTGTAGAGAAAAAAAATACAAACCTTTATCAGATGTTAAATATGTACAGAATTTAAGCATTTTTTGCATTTTCAAACAAGCAAAATAATAAAAAAACAAATATATTCATTAATAAACAAAAGTTAAAATAAAATAAAATAACAGAGTAAATCCTTTTTAAATCAAAATTAAAAAAATTTACAACAGACTTCTCTCGAAATATTTCAAAAAAGCGAACATTTCAAATGGGTTTTTCAAAATTAAAAAAATATTAAGGAGAATTTAAAGTGGTAAATAATGGCAATATATAGAACAAACTTTAAAATAAACTAGAGCTCAAAAAAATAGTGTAGCTTAAGATAATTTTTAAAAGCTACGAAATTTCAAAACTGACCGACGCTATTTTATTTCTCAAAAACAAACAAAAAAATATAGGTAACAACAATTTTGAAGACCCCCAGTAACTATGGAAAAAACGCAACTTTCAATTTTCTGCTATAAAAATGGCTTAAACTTTGTAAAAAATAATTATATAGTGAAACTGACAAAATAAAAAAATATATATAATTTTATTAATTTAAACGAAGAAGAAAATGTTTTAAAAATTTGTGAATAATACAGCATACACACGCGTAAGAAAACATACAAAATAAGCACTGGAAGATTTTGAAATTAAATATGTTTAAATAAATTAACTTAAAACACACAAAATTCAATGAACAACGATTATAACGGTTTATCAGCAACTTAGTTAAATAAAATAAAAAAAATATCTGCTAAATATATATCAAACTAAAGCAAATTAAAAGTATTATTGAAAATCACCGATAATTATAGTTGAAATATTAAATAAAATAATATAAAAAAAAATATGTTTATTGAAAAAATGTGAATATATAAAACATAGAAGAAAAAAATACGCCAAGCCAAAATTATACCGTACACTTTTCATGCGTCCAATGTTAAAGCAAGAGAAATGTTTAGAAACATTGACGCAGCAAAATCAACAAATTATAGCAACTCAAAGCACAAAGCGGCCCAGCGATGATGTTGCCCCGGCAGAGGCTGCAGTTTTCGACAAGAAACATAATTATTTCGCAGAAATTCTCACTGTAAGCGAATTAACGGCTTGTAATTGCGAAGCACACACAGCCTGGCAACATGTTGCCGCCAACAGAGAAAATCAACAGCGCAAACAGCAAGGCAATACGGGTGATAACAACTTGCCCACTGATATTGGGATAACAGCTAAATGTGCGCTAAATGCTGCTAGCAAGCAACCAAACACCGCACCAAATGTTTCCAGCAACATAACTAATCCGAAAACATTGCTCTCGCAACAAAGCGAGCCAAATGTTGTGTGCGGAAAAAATCTCAATATCGTTAATCAAAGTAATAGCAAGCATTTAACACCGTTTGCACAGGGCAAACAGTGCAGTAAATTGTTTAGCAACATGTTGCAGCAACATTCCCCATTGACACTTTCGGAGCAGAAGCCGAAAATTCACACAAATTATGCGCGCAGTCTTGTTGAGGAGCAATGTGCGATGATTTCTTTAGCGGCAACAAATGCTAAAATATGCCAAAATACTACAACAACAACAGCAGCAACAGCTAAAACAAAAACTGCAAACGTTATTGAACTATTTAAGGCCTCTCCGCCTACGCCAGTACAGCCGTCGCTAAATCAAAAAAACAAAGAAAAGACGATAGATTTCAATAGTAGACGGCGCCGCGGTCGTCTAAGGCCCCCACCAGCACCACCATCACCACCGCCTTCAACATCGCCGAAACACGAACGCATTACCGGCGGTGTGGGCTTTCATAGTGATGACTACTGTCTGGGTCGTGGCGTGACAGCCACAGTGTGTCGTGCATTAATGTGGTTGGCGAGTTACTTGGAAAAAGTGGCCTATAATCGTACTAATGCCGGCTATGATCAAAGTGATCCCTTGCTATACTTGTTATCGGTGTTGTTATCGTTAATCGTAGTTAATGTAAATAGAGTTGCAATTGTAGTGAATGAATTTAAGAATGAAGTGAATAAAAATGCAATAAAAAACACCAGCAAAATAAATAAAATCACCACCAACACAACCCTCACGACCGCAAGCACCAACATAACCAACAGAGAAACCAGCGAAATTAATAAAAATCGCAGTGTTATTAAAAGTGTTGCAAAGCGTGAGGAAAATTTTGTTCCAGTTGGTCAACAGTTGCGGTGCGTGTGTGAGAGTGCCGCGTGCGACGCTGAGCGTCAAGAAGCAGTTAAAGCGAAAAACAATAACAATTTATACGCACAAAATAACATTATAACACCGGCTGCTACTGCTGCTGCAGCTGCTGCTGCTGCTGAGGTCCAGTCCAACTATGAGCCCAACACCATAATGACCGCAACACCAATAAATTCGTCTGACGAGCCGTCGCTGCCTGCTGTTGGTGCTGCCAGTGGCATAGCGGTCACACCACAACAAGCCGCTAACACCGGCAACACCAACAACACCACCACCACAACCATCATAACCACAATAACGACGAACATTACTCCAACGACTACGACTATTAATAACCGCAAAACATTTGCGTCCATTCCGTGGCGTTGCCGCCAAATGCACTTACTCTTCTTCTATGCCTTCATATTGTGTACATCCATATTGCTTCCATGCGGCAATAATTTGGTAGCCGCCGCTAAACCCAAGTCTGCTACACAATTGCAGCAACAGAAACAGTTGCTATTGCAACAACAACAACAGCAACAGCAACAACAACAATATGAGCAACATGTACATGGCCAACATGGCCACCAAGCTCATCAACCAGCTGCCGGTCCAAATGGTGGCTTTGGCACACACGGCGGCTATGCAGGCCTCGGCATACCCGTCGCTGCTGGCGGTCCCGGTGCCGATTTGACACCACCAACCTATCAGGTTGTTTCATCGCAAACATCGAACGAAGAGGCGGAATTCATATTCCCCTCAGATCAATCGGACGAACAAATATTCGATCAAGAGGAACAAAATTTGAATGTTGTCGAAATGGATGAGGACGACGATGATGAGGCGGAGGACAGGCAGGGTAGAGCGTATGATGTGCATAACAACGGTAAGTAAATGAAACAAAATTCAAATATTAAAATTTTTTGGTTAATCGAATTTTCACTAAAAGCTAAAAACTATTAAGTGAAATTTATAGCAGAAAAGATAAACGCGGAGAAATTAATTTCAGAGATAATCCAAACTCTTCTCTTGGTGGTCCAAATAGATTTAGGACGAATAATCTTTTCAAATGATAATGATTTAAAACAAAATATTTAGTTTGTACAGGAATTTTTCTATTTGTCCAAATAAAGCATCATCAATTCGACGAAAATTCCAATTCCAATAAAAAATCCCCGGCGACAGCGGAGTGGTTAGCATTGGGTACTGCCATTCGGAAAGCTCGGGTTAAAATCCCTGTGTCGGACTAACAACCATCAGCCGTTCGAAGACGGCTAAGTATAAATTGGAGGAGGAGCTCAGCCAGTGCTTCAGTAGTTAATTTGTACATATATATTAATATACAAAATCAAAAACCAACTACACTGTAGCTGTTGTCTTGTTCTAACCCTCGTCTTGCTTGCGGCATTATTAATTAGTAGTAGAAAATCAATCAGAAGTAGAAAATCTGATAAAATATTTTCGGTATCGAATAAAGCTTCATACACATCTGGGTAGAAACATCACCTGTAATTAGGTAAAATATTTACCGAAACATAAAAAACCGCCATGAAAAGAAATCTCAATAAAGTCATATTCGCTCGTAATGTGTGGCATGTGGCACCATCTTGTTTAAGCCACAAGACATATTTTTCAATTGCAGGCCAAAAATGGTCAGTTGACTCATGACCATAACGCTCACAACTAACAGTGGGAGTCTCGCCTTCGGGCCGAAGAGCGCACCAGTTATTGTGTGATCTGTTTGTAGTCCAAATGTAAAATACACCACGAAAGTTCCAGCTCAAGAGAAATATACACATTCGGGCCTTTGGCTACGTTTTCACTCACAGTTGCGATATTTTAGGTGATTTTAGATGGAACGAGCAAAACGATAATTTACAGACCCAACAATATCTGCAACAGAACCAGTCTCTTCGAATTTCCTTAAAATGTCTTCAATTGCCTCAGTAATTAGACGATTTTACTCGTCTGAACCATAGTCTCTTTTTAGAGCATGAAACGTAACCACGTGACCACGATTGAATCTACATTGCTGAGGGCTTTAAAAAATTAAACGCATTGTGTAGTTGTTAAGCGATCAATTTTCATAAAAATATCTATATGATGTCAAGTCAAAAGTTCATTCGGTTTTTATGGATTTTTCAAAATATGATAACTTGCCGTTGCGCCGCTTTGTTCGTAAACTTGTTTCCAACGATATGCCAACTTCATTCTACCCCTCTGTTAGAAGGCTGCGTCCCTTTTGGCAAAAAGTTCGGAGAGCCAATTTTCACAGGTCTTTTTTGAGGCCAACTTCTCACCATTAAGCACTTTCGCCATGGACAGGTAAAGATAGTAATCACTTGCTGCCAGGTCCGGACTAAAAGGTGGGAGAATTAGGATCTCCCATCCGAGCGTCTGGAGCTTCTGGCGCGTCACCAAAGACGTGTGTGGCCTGGCGTTGTCCTGATGGAATACAATGCCGCCTCTTTTGATCAAAGATGGCCTCTTCTGGATGAGTGCTGCCTTCACTGCACTCGATTTTGTCGTAAGTGACCCATCATTCATCGCCAGTCACAATCCGCTTCAGAAACGGGTCGATTTTGTTGCGATTCGCAGATGGAAATTCGGTCCATCAAGCTTTTTTTGCGTTAGTTCGTGTAGCACCCTAACATCGAGATTCTTTTTGAATCCAGGGTTATGCAAATGATTCCAAACGGTTCTCTGGTTTATCTTTAGTTCCCGAACAATTAAATGAGTGCTCACGTGACACAAACACGATTTCAGCGCCGTAAAGTATGACATGATGTGACACGTAGCACTAGTACTATGGACAATACCGCCATCTCTCAGATAAAAACCGAACGAATATAATGAATAACTGTAGTCTAGAGCAAGTCTTCAACTTTTTTGATTTGGGGGTTATTATGAACGCTAAGCTCAACTTCCTTTTTCATATAAATACCCATTGTCTTAAAAGCTAAAATTGCATTTGCCGTTGTCAAAAGATGGTCAAGAGAATTAAAGACCCTTTTGTAACTAAAGCAGGACTTTCAAGAGTGAGTGCAATATAAGAATATGGTTCACTGATATGGAACCGCAATCATCAAATTAATTTCGATAAGTTAGAGTTTGTTTTACTTTTTGCATTAAGACGTTTCCGATGGATTTCTTCGATAAATCCTCCTCCTTATACTAACCGTTGAGAGCTGCTAAATCTGGCTACTCTCGCAAGTCGTAGAGAAATGTTAGGCGCATTGTTCGTAGTAAAACTTCTTAACGGATCAATGCGTAGTTCGTGGTTCTTGTCTGAGGTAAAATTTAATATTCCAACTCGTGTATCTAGTCAGTTTAGACCTTTACTATTAAAGTCCGAGAAAACAAATTATGAATTCATTCCAGCACCTTCTATACCTCAGAATTACTTTTTAGCATAAAAAAAAGCAATTCCTGCTCCTTTCAAAATTCCAATTAAAAAATTCTTTAATTCCTTAATGTCAGCTGTTGAGTAATTATATTTTCTGTAGATGAACAGTTTTAAATCTCGACATTTAACAAAAGCTTCTCAATCATGACTCGGCATATTCCGTACGTTATGCGGATTTCGCCTCTCGTGTCGGTTGGGCGGGTGTAGGGTAATTGTGAGACTTAATATTATTATTACCATTATTATTATTATTATTATAATTAATAAGGAAATGAGGTGCTTTATCCACTTTGTTTATTTCATTCCAAGCATTGTCTTCCCGAAATGCTATTTTCCTGTAAAAACTGTTGCTCAAAATATTCAAAATGATCTTGGTGTCTTTTGATACTCAAACACATCTCACTTTAAAAATATTCATCGTTGACATGGTCTTCTTCTACATAATTTTATTTTTATCACGAAAATTTCTTTGGTGCCACAAAAAACTCATTCTTAGTAAACGGTTTTTTTTATTATTATTATTTGTCCATTGCTGTCCCGAATCGCTGCAAGTAACACAGATACGCAAACATATTGAAATTCCAGTGACTGCAGGTAGCATTTGAACGAATGAGTAAGTGGAGAGAAAATGAAGAGTCGTGAAAAATATTTACGAAGATAAGCATCTTAAGTATTAAATTATGAATTCACAATAAAAGCGCAGAATGGGAGGCATTAATTTTTGTGGTTATGCAGAAATGCAGAGGAGCAGCTGTGGTTGTGAGAGGAGTGACTGTTGAGTACATATAAATATACAATAACAAGTACATATTTAAATTGCTAGTGTGTCGCAAAAAATTTAAATAGACTTGAAATGGCCAAATTTAAGAAAATCAAAAAAATGTCAAAGTGCAAAGTGAGAATTTCATTTTTGAAACCAAAAATTTTGCTCAGAAAGCAAATTTTATTTTTGATCAGAAAAATAAAACTCAAAAAACTATTTATTAATTTCGGAGAAAATCTTAAAACTCCAACTTCAATGTATATTTTTGATGAAAAAAATAAAACTCACGAGAAAAAAACTTAAATATCAAGATAATGATTATTTCGGATAAGAAAAATTTTAAGCTCAGACGTAGTCATTACTTTTAAGCGCAAATATAAAAATCGAAAAAAATACATATCTGATCGGAATAATATAAAATAATTTTAACTTCAAGCGTTATGTTAAACTTGAAAAATTTACAATTATTGAAGATCGAAATTTTCTTAACCGTTAAAGAATGATTAAAAAGCGTTTTTTTAATAAAACTCATAATGATTACCATCTCTAGTAAAAATGATGATGATGAAGGCGAATATGAATATATGTAAACTAGCGCACCCGACGAAGCGAAGTTCCACACCTTTGGGTTGACTGTGAAATCTTAATTTAATTATTTGAATTGACCCGAAATTGGCTGAGAAAGGTATGGTAGCATCCGATTAGTATTATCGGCGCGAGAAAAAACAATAAAAACGGTTTGACATCACGCGAACAGACAACGTAGACATATTTATAAGGAAAAAAATTTCGAATAGCAACCGCACCATAAATACGATTTTCCGCATTGAACGGTGCCGGGTCCACTACGTGAAAAGAAAAGCATGTCAAGCAAATTGAATGAAAAATTAGTTTAAGTGAGCACAATTTTCTAAGCTGAACAACTCCTTAATTTAAACATTAATGTAGCAGTCCTTTAAATTTCAAGTGAATCGATTCATAATAAAGATTTCCTCGTGTAAAATGGTACCTGGTTCTCCTCCTGGCTTAGACTTAAATTTCCTTGGTGAAAACACTTTCCCAATAGATTTGAATAGTTGAAAAATTTGTTCCAATTCGGTTCAGCCGTTAACAAATCAAGAAATACAATACAATTCTGAAAAAAAAAAAAAAAAAAATTAAGAAAAATGCATAAAATCTTCATTTGAATCGATGGTACGGTCCATATAATTTAATGTTTGAAGATTATTTCATGCAAATGTTGACCGTGACTGCGCCTCAAATTGTCCATCCGCTTAGTCCAATTTTGGCATACTCCTTCCAACATTTCGGCCGGTAGCCCACGAATAAATGCTTCAATGTTCTTCTCCCATGCCTCAATTGAAGCGAGCTTGTCTGTGCAGACATTAGATTTAACATTACCCCACTAAAAATAGTCTAAAGGCGTTAAATCGCATGATCTAGGCGGCCAATTGACCGGTCCCGAAAGTGAAATAAAAAGTTCACCGAACTCGCCTTTCAAGAAGTCTATTGTTGCGCGTGCTGTGCGGCATGTGGCATCGTTTTGTTGAAACCACATCTCATGCAAGTCCAGTTGTTGCATTTTGGGCAAAAAAAAGTTGAATATCAGCTCACGATAGCGCTCACCATTCGCAGTTACGTTACGATTCGCATCATTTTTGAAGAAGAAGTACGGTCCAATGATGCCACCAGACCATAAACCGCACCAAACTGTGACTTTTTCTAGATGCATTGGTAGCGCTCCCTTGTACACTTGTACTCGCACTTTGTGTTTTCCGGCCGAGCTCCTCTGATTTGTGGTGTGTGTCTTTGAAGTTTTTCCGAAAAAAAAATAGCCTGAATTTTATATATTAGATCAAATAAAAAATCATCAATTATATTTACTTTATATTAAATAAAATTAAATTAACTATATAAATTAAATTTGCAATAATTAGA